TCCCAAAAGGCCGGTAACGCACGCCTCTGATGTTCCAGGTGTCCACAAAGCTATCAGCCGATCAGCAGCCAGTGGCGGCTGGTGGGTTATCGAACTGGTGGTGCAGTTTACTAAAATATTAAAGTTAGAAAATGCAACAAAACAAAAATTGACATAATATATGTTTATTTTTTATTGTTTTAAATTTAAAAAGGGCCGTGGCGGTCCGGCCAATTTTATGTTCACTTTATTTTGAAAAGTTCTGTTATTTTCTTTAATATAATCAATGTTTATGCTCATTTTCACTAATACACAGTATAGAATAAAAGTTCTCGAAAAAAATCGAAACGAAAACTAAAAACAATTATTTACGGTAATATAAATAAACAATTATTAGCGCGTCACACATACAGTGAAACTATACTGATAGTCTAATAACGAGATGTCAATCATCCAATGGCTGCCGTCGCCTCGCGCGCGCCCATGCCGGCCAATTCGTCAAAAATCGGGTGCTCTCGGCAATCCTCGGTTCGCATCGCACGTGCGGCGCTCGACAACCGACTCATTACTCGGTACGTTTCTATGAACTATCTTTTGTTTCACGCGTCAGGCGTATTAACTCGTATCACCTACAAGTTGTATTAGCAGCCCTCGTGCACTCGCCGAAGCGCACGAGAATTTGTCTTTACAGGAAAATAAGTCTTAATAGTTTAGTAAAGCGCTCAAACTGTTTCACTATAATTGGAGATTTAATTTTTTATACGTTTTTGTTTTTATATATTTAAAAATAAATATTAAAATGGTAATAAAAATAAAAATGAAGTAGGTACTTAATATTTTGTCATTTTTAAATCTTTTGGATTGGTGGTTCAGCGCACGAGCGCACTTAAGGTACAGCCGCCACTGTCAGCAGCTACAACAAAAATGAATGAATTTGTGAAAAAAATGAATTAATCTTTACTCAATAGGAACTGAACATAAGCTTGGCTCTAATAACATGAACTTGCATCCACTCAACTGACAATGAGACAGTTAACTTACCACCAAAAAATATATAACCCTCATTCTGACACCAGCAGCAGCAGTGAAATAAAACCAATTATTGTTGACGAACGGTACCAGACAACAATATTTTTATTTTTCGCGCTAAATACGGTAACTTGCCTATCTCAGCAGGGAACATCTTGAAAAAGTACTTGAACTTTAATCAGCCCACTTAATTATAAATGGTATAATTAGAACAATTATTCACTAATTGCTACAAGTTCATTAGCCCCTTTCATAATAGACGCTTCAGATTAAAATCGGGCGTGAAATCTTCTTTTTTATGTATTTATTAGGTTAATCATTGTCATTTTGTACTGATGGCTTTGCTGGGTAAGATGGCCTTGGTGCAATTTCACCATTTGCCAAGAAAATAATTAAATTATCTAAGCATTATGAAGTTTCGAAAACGTTTGATGAGTTTAAAAAATGTAATTGCACAAATCGTTTTGAAATACTAGTAGCCCATCCCAGCTTCGCATGGGTGAACAAATAACAAATAATCAGTGATAATTCAAATGATGAAGGGATTTTTAAAATCGGTCCAGTACTTTTGAAGGTTATATGTTGCCAACATACTCACATACAAATCTTTCCTCTTTATAATATTAGTATAGAAAAACGGTAGCCTATTGTCATACAGTACTCTGTTTATATTATAACAGAACCGATACGACCTTCAAACCTTCAAGAAAAGAGCGTATTTATTCTTAAAAGGTAGGCAACACACCTGTGACTTCTCTGGTGTTGCGGGTATCCATGGGCGGTACTAATCACTTGTTTTTTATGGAATAGCATGATGATAAGTAATCGCTGAACGCTGATGGTAAGCAATCAGCGAGTACTTTTACCATTAGTCGATACGTCTGCTCGTTTGCCTCCTATTCCATAAAAATAACCCCAAAAATTTAAACCAGTTACTGTTATGAGTCCCAAGTAATACGCGATCATAATTATTAATGTATTATTTATTATCTACTACACATACTACATTTTACACCCCTTGCTGAACTTAACATATATGCGACATATTTCGCCCACCATATTATGTAGAGAGAAAAAAGATTTCCCCCCTTCCTGCAATAATGAAATGTCTCTGTTCAGAATCGGATAATAAATTGTCATCTCATTCATACGGTGACAAGGCGATAATTGAATTCTCCTGACAAAAGGTGGAGGCCATAAAGGAGCTTTGGTATGCATTTTAAGCGTTAAATCATGGGTTTATGTTGAAAACTTGGGTGGAGTTGCGTTTACAGAATTGCTACTTGGTGGGAATAATGTAGTTAATGATTTTGTTATTGTAATTACAGAATGCTCTAATCAGACCTGAAGTTCGGCGTCCGGCCCGCAGTCCTGTGTGGGAGAGGCATGCTTCGGCACGAATGGGTCGGCTCGACCGGAGTGATACCACGGCCTCACAGAAAATCAACGTGAAACAACACTTGTGGTTACCGAACGCCCAATTAAGTCTCTTCCACATTTCCAGCAATCCTCAAATTCCTGATCCCCAAAAGGCAGGTAACACACTTGTACCGCTTCTGGTGTTCTGGGTGTCCATGGGCGACGCCGATTGCTTACCATCAGGTGATCCGTCTACTCGTTTACAGTTTTAACTTATAAAACAAACAGTTGTTAGTTTTTTAAAACTGAGTATTTATTTCGGAATCAATACCTGTTTGATCTCGAAGTCTATTCTTAAGAATGCGAGTTATCCTTTTGCTGAATACGGCACATTGATTCCAGTTTTTCTCACTGCGGCCTGAACTAAATACCGAAACTCCTTCCTCATCAGTCTTATTTAGGAACAATTTATCATCTAAGGCTAAGATCAACCGTCTAGGGATAAGAGAAGGTTTCACAGATAGCATAGCACATCACTGAACTCGATTCTCAGCATTTCTTGTTTAACTACTGCCAGCGACTTTGCGGGTATCGTCACTTAATCTGGCAGTACCATTTTACCAAAGAAACAATTATACCGCAAATTCATATTCCATCCGTATCTTGGTCATATTTTTGCTACAGATTTAATAACACTTGATTGCTTTATTTGTATTGTTTTAGTTTTTATTGGCCTGAGGCATACAGCAGCTGGAATTGACAATTAATAATTATTTTCTTTTATTGATGTTCTGTAATTGGGCCTTGTCGTCAAGTCTGTTATTAAAACAGTTGATGTGGCTTTTTCTTTGATGGTTTGATACATAAAATTAGGATTATTATTCGATGTTTATAGTGTTTTTTTGTGGGAATGGAAAAGTTTCTATTTCTGATTTAAGCAGAGTATTTACTTATTTTTACGTATTAAAACTTTGGGGTCTGATCATGGCTTATGTACGGTGGATGTGTTTAAAAATCCAAAATAAGAAAGAGTTAATTGCCATGTGCATGTTCATTATTTACCAAGCTAACAACATAGTAGATGCAAACGTATAAAATAAAATAACTACATTAAAAAACTCGTTTTTACCCACCCAAATAAAACTTTATCTGATTGATAATTTACTATTTTTAAAAACGTATTCAGATTTTAAATTTCCAGAGATTGGCATGAAAGTAATTTATAATTTAGGTTCATACGCTTTCAATAAAAACAACAGTCGACCCGCAGATATTATAAATTGAAAATGGCGGCCGCTTAAGCTCGTTGCACACGGTAAATTAATACTGACAAATTCACTGATGGATGAGGTAAAAATAAAACGAACGTGATGAGAAACTCATTATTGTTGACACAAAAATCGGATTACCATAAAATGAAATTAAGCCATGTCGAGTGACAGCAAATAAGAATACTCTGTCACCGCCCTTCGATTTTTGCATGGATGTTAAAAAAGACTGAATTACTTTTTTGAAGTCATTCAATGACTTCTCCTGCATTGCACAAGGCTAGAGAGAGTGGCAGATTCTTACTGACTAAAATCTAGCCCATTCCTACTCTTGCTCTTCGAGCCGGACCCCGGCAACTCGTTAACTCTCTCTCTCTCGGCAACTCGTCTTCCGCAAGTTATTCGACAACAGCGCTTCTTAGTAAACTTGAACCTTCTTAACTGCGATTCCTAATTCACCTGCTAAGCGTGGATATTACGGTGAACTGAGTGAATAGGTTGCTTATGACATGACGTGCTCCATCGTAGACCGCATTATCGCTTACTACGAGGCGAGATCGTGGTCAAACGTCTGCCTAACAAATATAGAAACAAAAAAAGAATAATAATAGAGGAAGCCCATACTCCAGCATTGGATTGTAGGGTTTTGATGGCGATAGTGGCTTTTTTAAGGGGAGAAAATGATCGAATGAATTCACCCACCTGGGTGAGGCGGGAGAAAGTGTGAGTGAGACTCTTACTGATTAAAACCACCCCTTTCCTACTCCTGCCCTTCGAACCGTCGTCGTATCGGCATGACGATAGTGGCTTACATATTAATTACACAATTCTTCTCTTAACTTATAAGCATCCCAGTTTAACCTAAGAGTCTATAACTGGTTAATATAATAATAGTTCTTAATAACATAACAATTAAATAAAATTTGCGGGTCACTTACGTGAATATTATGGGAAAAGCTCAAAGTCAAAGTCAAAGCATTTAATTTAATTAAACCAAATATTTTGTACTTTTGAAACGTCAACAAATACAAAATAAATAATAGTCTGTGAGTCAGTCCGTTCGTAAAGCTAGAGGATCATTCCAAAATGTAGATTCGATTGGAGAAGAACGAGTAAGAACCTCCATTCGCTCTACTAGCGCTTCCTCTTGAGCAGCATGCGCGGTCGCAGCGATGTCGCGCAGCCTACTGTATGCTAGTAGAAGTTTTCTCAGTATATTCACGTGATTATTCCGCAACTTTTAGTTAATTTAGTGTGTTTTACGTTAGTTATTATAAAAATATATAACAATAAGATCATTATTCATGATAATGATTATTAAAAAATTCGCGGGTAGTCGCCTAGTAAACATCAAAATAGTAAAGCTAAGTTTTGGAAATTAATTATAATTAGATAAATTACATTATTATCTTCTAAATGTTTTAAATACATTAATAATTGGTGCTACCTGCCTGTCCAGTATTTTCAACTAGTTGCAACAACACTTTGGCACTGAAAATTAAACTTGCACTTGGATTGAGTCATGGATGATTTCACACGCATAGTGTTTGAAATGAGCAGCATGTTCAAACAACGCATGGCTGACTTTGAGGAGGAGCATAAGAATAATGCAGCCACGCCGGGACTGTCACCGGAGTACATTGCTTTCCGGACGTTCATCATGCAGGCTCTCAGTGTTTTCCAGCAGCAGGTGAACTTTGTGGTGCAGAGCATGGACAACATGCAAATGCGAAGCCGGCGTAAGATATTACTTCTGCATGGTGTGTCGGAATCCGAACCTAAGGAAGAGGATACTACCCAGGTGGTGGTACAGGTTGTCAAGGACCGCCTCAAACTTGACATAAAGCCTTCCGACATCAAGCGGTGTCACCGGATGGGTCGAGTTTCCCAAAAGGCTCGACCCATTTTGCTCAAGCTTCACGATGTGGCTCTCCGTGACAACATCTGGCGTGGAAAGACTAAGTGCAAGGGCTCGGGCGTTACCATCTCCGAGTTTTTGACAAAGATACGTCACAACACGTTCATGGCAGCTCGAGAGAGGTTTGGCGTCAATCAATGCTGGACGAGGGAGGGCACTATATATGTCCTGGACTCGAAGGGCGCTCGACACAGAGTGACATCCATGGACGACCTCGAGAAGATTGAGCCCCAACCGCCTGAGCGGGGTGCTGCACAGCCTGTCACTGCAGCTGCCGGAAGAAACGCCGTGCCCAGGGCAAGGCGTGCTGCAGCAGCATCACGAAAATAAAGTATATTTGTTTTTAAGTCACTTTCTATGGGTAGTTTGGGTTAATTGGGTATTCTTTTATTTTGTAATGTTGTCGCATTACCTTCACTTCATAATATTTATTATTTCTTTTCATAATTCATTTCGTTAAGGTAGTAGAATTTTACTGTTTACATGCTCATTTGTCACTGTCACTTTCATGTCATTATTTATCTGTCATTCTTTATTCTGCGTTTCGTTCCACGTACTGCATGCATGTGTTTTGGGTGGCATGTTATTGTGTGACATAGTATTTTTTTTTTTCTTATTTTTTTTTTTTATTCAATAGTTCTATTATTAGCCTAAACTACCACTGCTTCGTTATTTCATTTATTTCTTTTTAGTTGTTTATTGTTTTTTATTTCTTTTCTGGTTATCTTTTGCTATTTGTTGTTTGCTTTCTTATATTATGATTCTTACAGACTAACTGGCAGGTGGAGTGCTATACTGGATTGTGTGAAACACACATTAATAATATTTCAGCTTTGTTTTTATATTGCATTATTTGTATCTATTTTACATATTTTTATATATTGATAGGAATTACACATTACACACCCATGTCTGATTGTAGTAGCAATGACTCAGATACATTCTTATCTCTAACTTCAGACGATGACAGTTATTGCAGCTTACCGTCCTTACATGAGACACTCGCTTCTATATTTTCTGATGTATCGCAGAACTTCAATGTGGTTCACATTAACGCCCAGAGTATTCCGGCTCACTACCCCGATATGCTGGCAATTTTTCAATCTAAAAATATACATGCAATTCTAGTGTCCGAATCTTGGATGAAACCTTGTCTCCCTTCTTCCTCTTATTCTCTTCCTGGGTTCAATATGATTAGGAATGATCGTGCGGTTGGGGGTGGGGGTGGTGTGGCCATATATCTCCGTAATAACATCTCCTTTAACATATTGAACATGTCCACGCAGCCCCCTCCTCAGAACGCTGGTGAACACCTTTTTCTGGAGGTTGAGTTACATCACGCTAAAATTCTTCTTGGCGTGTATTACTGTCCTTCTTTGCGTATAAATTTCTTCTCCTCCTTCGAGCAACTCCTGGAAACATTTGTACCTTCATATGATCATTGTATCATTATGGGGGATTTTAATACATGTCTCTTAAAAAACGACTCGCGTTCCACTTCTTTTTCCCGTTTAATTAAGTCTACCAATCTTTCTATCCTTGACCTCAAGGCTACTCACCACTTCCCTAATTCAGTTCCTTCGCTTCTTGATTTAATCTTAGTTTCTTCCCCAAACCACGTTGCCAAACATGGCCAGTGTCCAGCTGACGCCTTCTCTTATCACGACCTTATCTATACTTCCTTTAAAATTCGCCCACCCAAGCATAAGTCGAGAACTCTCTATCTCCGCAATTTTGAGGGCATGAATGTTGAGCGTCTACGGGAGGATGCTGCTGACATTGACTGGAAACCTCTGGCTGAGGCGGCATCGGTTGACGAACAGGTTGAATTCCTGACTGCCACTCTTATAAAACTATACGACAAACACGCTCCTGTCAAGGCCGTCAGGGTTAAGCATCTCCCAGCACCTTGGCTAACTGACGAAATAAAGAACCTGATTGCCAAAAAAGCTGCTGCAAAATTCAAATTTAAGATCCAGCCTAGTGACAGCAACAGGGAAAAATACATTAGGATTAGAAATCAGTGCAACAAGGTGTGCAGGAATGCTAAACGCCAACACATCCATAGATCAGTTGAAGATGGTGATCCGGCTAAAGTGTGGAAATTCCTCAAATCACTAGGAATCGGTAAACCTAATCAAGACCCTTTACCTAAAGATCTAGATCTTAACTCTCTTAACACTCACTTCTCTTCCTCAGTTGCTTTAGATATGGCCACCAAAACTTCCACTTTAAACTTTCTTTCTTTTCTTCCGATACCTGATTTTCCTCCGTTCGTCTTCAGTCAGTTTACTGCATGTGAGGTTAGGAAAAGCATTCTATCGACGACTTCGAATGCCGTTGGTGGTGACTGTGTAAGCCGCAAAATGATAATTCCTATCCTCGATCAAATAACTCCAATCATCCTTTTTGTCCTAAATTCCTCAGTCTCCAACAGAGCTTTCCCTCAGATTTGGAAGGAAGCTCACGTAATCCCTCTTCCTAAGAAACCAAATCCTGCTTCTTTTTCCGATTTTCGTCCTATATCCATTCTTCCTTTTCTGTCCAAAATTCTAGAAAAACTAATCCATTATCAACTCAGTTCTTTCCTTACCAAGCATAATCTCCTCAGCCCCTTCCAATCTGGTTTTCGTCCGGGTCACAGCACCACCACGGCTCTCGTAAATATTACCGATGACATTAGGTCAGGCATGGAGATGGGGAAGTTGACGGTACTTGTCCTGCTCGATTTTAGTAATGCATTTAATACCGTCGACTTCGAAATATTGCTTGGCGTGCTCAGCACTTTTAACATATCCCCATCAGTGATTGACTGGTTTCGTAGCTACCTATTTGGTCGCCGGCAGCGTATTCATTGTGAGGATCGTTATTCTTCATGGTGTTGTACTGCTTCCGGTGTGCCGCAGGGAGGTGTTCTATCTCCTTTACTCTTTACGCTATTTATCAGCTCTATTTCTAATGAACTCTCTTCTTCCTTCCACCTTTATGCCGATGATCTACAGATCTACACACATGCTTCGCTGCATGAATTACCCGATGCTGTTGCACTGGTCAACCGTGACATGGAGCGAATTAGTGACTGGAGCATGAAGTTCGGGCTGCGTATCAATCCATCAAAAACGCAAGTGACGGTTGTCGGCAGTTCAAGGACTGTCTGTAAAATAGACTGGTCCACTCTTCCCCAAGTATGTCTACTTAACACCAAGATACCTTTTTCCAGTGAGGTTAAGAACTTGGGGATTTACATTGATAGCACTCTGTCTTGGTCTAAACAGATGCAGGAGGTCAGCCGCAGGGTGTTTGCCTCGGCGGGCTCCTTGAGGCGTCTTCGGAATTTCTTGCCCACTACTACAAAAATTGCATTAGCACAATCCCTACTTCTACCAATTCTCGACTATGCTGATGCCAGCTATCTTGATCTCACCCAAGAACAATTAGACAAGCTTGAGCGACTTCAAAATCTTTCTATCAGGTTTGTATTTGGTTTGCGCAAATATGACCACGTATCCGAGTTCCGCAACAAGCTCAAATGGCTGCCTATTCGTCTTCGCCGGAATACTCATATTCTTTCAGTTTTGTACAATATACTCTTTAATCCCACTACCCCTATTTATCTAAAACATCGTTTTACGTACCTTGGCGACACACATTCGAAGTTTTTGAGATCATCGGAAAGTCTGAAATTAAATATTTGTTTGCATTCCACTTCCTTTTTCGACAAATCCTTTACAGTACAAGCAGCTCGGTTGTGGAATGCTTTACCGATAACAGTGAGGCGAGCTCAAACTATATCGCAATTTAAAAAACTTCTTAAAGAGCATTACCTCTCTTTATAATTTTATTTCCTATCTTAACCAGACACCTACACACACACACACACACATACACCAACACACACCATTTTGTAATATATGTATCATATTGTTTTTTATATATATTATTTATTTTTTTTAGTATTCTTGTATGTATGTATGTATAGTATTTTATACAGATATTAATTAATGTACACTCGACGACCCATTTCAGACTCCTGTTGCTGCTCCATCCAAAGGTTGTCTGTAAGAAATCGCCTTGTGCGATAAGACCGCCCATTGTACACTATTTTGGTTTAGGAAATATTGTCCTGTATTACAATTGTGTGGTGTACAATAAAGCATATATTATTATTATTATTATTATCATGCTAATACTCGCACAACCTAACACGTTCTACTAAAAGCGATCGAAAACCTAAATAATTACATCCATTAAACCGCTGGCATTCAAAGGCTGAAGCAAAGACATTAGTTACGGAGCAATGGATAGCATTCATAGGCATTAGGCCAATGGATCGAGACTGAGTTGCTGTGATACGTTATATTCGCTTTTGGAAATAGGTTATTGCTTTATTATTTTCAAGTCGGTGAAGGTAGAATAATAAATAACACATAACATTACGCCTTTTATCCCCGAAAGGGTAGTCAAAGGCACGTAATGCCACTGCACAATGTAACACCCACTTTTCACTTGGGCCTTCCGCGAAATAAAAACTAAATATGTATTTTCTCAGTTAGTTACAAAAATTTGACAGTATGAAATAGAAGTAGGAATCCTACTGCCAAACAAGAACTAAAATTAGGTGTCTATTTACCTCTTAATACTAGTGTTTCCAAAATTAATAACACTAAAGATCAAATTAATATGACCAGCAGTAGCTGATCAATTAAGTACATTTTTTTATTAATATTATCAACAGCCTATAAATGCCCACTGCTGAGAAAAGCCTCTTCTCACACGGAGAAGGTTAGAGCATTAATCACCACGCTTGCTCAATGCGGGTGGGCGATTTCAAACTTATAATTAGAAATTATAAGTCCAGGTTTCCTCACGATGTATTTCCTTCACCGTTTGTCGGTGGTGTCTAAATAATCTTAGAAAGTACATATAACTCGGAAAAAGTCATATTGGTACTTGCCGTTGGTAGGTTTCGAACCTGCACCCTCATGCATGATGCGTCTTAACCCTCCGGTCCACCACGACACACACACTTAAGTACACTACATTTTAAATTAATAAACCAATCTTCAGATAAGACTCGAAATCTTGTATCGTATGCAACTAGCCTAAGCCAGCATCAACTTTTTCAATCCACAAAGTAATGTATGTTTGCATATTGCTATCCTATCATTAAGCGAGAATTCCTTACTGATGCGTTTGAAAGAAACATTTACTTATTCATTCTCATTAAAAATGCATACCATTTGGTTGTGTCTTTTGAACTAGTAAATTGGTCTATATTACAATAGTGTTAAGGTTGTATCATTATCATCAACAGTCTATTTAAGTGGCCCCTGCTGACCAAAGGCCTTTTCTTACACGGAGAAGGTTTGACCATCACCACGCTTGCATATTGAGGGTTGGCGATTTAAAATTTTTAACTAGAACATGTTTCTGTTCACCATTTTAAAATAATCTTAGAACATATAACTCCGAAAAAGTCACATTGGTATATGCCGTTGGTAGGTTTCGAAGCCACACTTTATGCATGAGAAGCGGGCGTCTTCAACCTTTAGGACACTATAGTTGTACATTGTGTTAAAGATAATATCACGCATTTTATCCACAAAGGGGTAGG